GGCGCCGAGGCACTGCCCTCTTTCTTTCGGATTCCTCGGCATTTATCATACGTATCCCTTCTAATATACTTTCTCTGTCCTTTTCAAAGTCCCTACTTTCGGAACTGGGGTGGTGGGGGAGCAGGGGGTTACACCTCCTCCGCGGCACCTTCTGATGGGGGGGGAGAAAAGGGGGGGGGGGGGGGTGCGGTGGGAAACCCTGTGCTCCCGCGAGCTGGGGAGAACGAGTTGTAATCTTCCCCCGGTTTCAACCGACCGGGGACGTCTGTTCCTAGTTTCTCCGTTGCTACCGCGGCAGTTTTCTGCCTTGTATCTTTTTATACAGTTCATTACTTCCCTCCGTGGTTTACCGAGTTTCTTTGCCTTTTTATAATCATTAAGCACTGAGTCAAATAGTTCATCACCAAACTTTCGCCACTCACTCTCCTCAAATATTGTATTAGGATCTGCAAAAAAAATCTCTTAGCCTTCCCTAGCCACTAGACCTGCTAGCTGCTTTAGAGTCTCAGGCTCAATTCCCCGCTTTTATAAAAAGCACTGTAAAAAGTTCAGGGCTCAGTTCCCCGCTTTTATAAGAAGCACTGTAATAAGTCCAGGGCTACCTCTCGGCCCATTTTCATGGCCAGCCTTTTCCGGATCGTCTTCTTCTGGGTCGTCCTGTAACCTCGGTCTCCGGATCGGCCTCCCGACGCAGCAGTGTCTGGTTCGCCCCAGCGGCGGATTCTTTCGGTTAGTCCAAGCACCCGGGTCCGTCACGCCACCGTAGCAGCATTGCCCGCGCTTCCCGGCCGCTGCCGCCGGCGTCGCTCACTCGCCGTTCCGGGTCCCCGTCGACCGGGGCCCTGTATCCCGGGTCCCCGTCGACCGGGGCCCTGTATCCCGGGTCCCCGTCGACCGGGGCCCTGTATCCGGGTCCCCGTTAAACCGGGGCCCTGTATTCCGGGTCCCCGTCGGCCGGGGCCCTGTATCCCGGGTCCCCGCTAGTCGGGGCCCTGTAATCCGGGTCCCCGTCGACCAGGGCCCTGTAGTCCGCGTCCCTGTTCGGGCGCCATTTGTAAGCGGCGAGGAGAAGCAGACAGGCCAACCCAGTATGGGTGATAAGCAACTTCTACTTTATTTGTGACGCAGTTCACACATATATAGGAGTGGTATTCAGCCACTCCTTCTTGGCATAACAGTATTGGTTAGCCCCACACAGCTTCCTCCACATTCTCCTCCCAGGTCCGGTCTCCGGCCATCTGTGGGGGCCACCCCCTGCCTTGCTTGCACAGTCCTCCAGAACGCTATGGCCCTGCTCTTAGAGTCATTCTGCAACAAGTAACCATGTTAATTTCCAAATGTTCATAGACTTGGGTAAATCAAGTTTATCCGGGGAGAAATAGTTGAACCAACTTGGCAGCTCCCTCATTTTAAACTAATGTTCTTGATACGAATATGCACAATAATTTATTTATAAAGTTCTGAAACAAATCTGTTAAATATGCAGTAAGAGTTTCATTGAAAATGGCTTCAAAAGGGGAATAATGTGTGGAAATTAATTGTTTGTACTGCATTTAGATAAATTACTGAGAAGTGATTAAAGCACACAGTAACACCCTGTCATGGTTTAAGCCCAGCCAGCAACCCAGAAACCACGTAGCAGCTTGCTCACTCCCCGCTCTTCCTCCCCTTGCTCCCAGGGGCACGGGGAGGAGAATTGGAAGAATGTAACTCCCACAGGTAGACATAAGAACAGCCCAGTAACTACCGTATTAACACACAACCACTACTGCTACCACCAATAATAATAATAAGGGAAATAACAAGGGAAGAGAATACAACCGCTCACCACCCGCCAACCAATACCCAGCCCAACCCGAGCAGTGACCTAGCCCTTCTGGGTAACTGCCCCCAGTTTATATACTGGGCATGATGTGCTGTGGTATGGAATACCTCTTTGGTCAGTTTGGGTCAGGTGTCCTGTCTCTGCTTCCTCCTGTCTTCCCCTCCTCCCTGGCAGAGCATGAGACTCACAAACTCCTTGGTCAGAGTAAACATTACTGAGCAGCAACTGAAAACATCAGTGTTAACAGCACTGTTTCCAGGCTGAAAGTCAAAAACACAGCACTGCACCATCTACTAAGAAGGAGAAAAATGACTGCTACTGCTGAACCCAGGACACACCCATTTCAGAAAAAAAAAAAAATCATAATCAGTATTATATTTTCTTAACAAAATTTTCTGTGAAAAGGAATGAAAGCTCGTAAGTTACTTATATCAACTACCCAAGTATTTACTTGAGGAAGTATGTCCAGCAGTAACTCCTGCAGTCTTTAAAGGGTGCTCACTCTTCGAACAAATTACAAACAGCAGCAGCCACTGAGATACAACATGGCATCTGGTATTTTGTCAGGGACGGAAAAGCATGTACACAAATGACACAAAAATGTAAATATAGATTCTGAAAAACTGTCTGAAAAACAGTAACAGGCTCAGACTGCATGTGAAATTGTAAAGAAGTAATGTGGTATTTGACTTTTTTTTTGCTTCTCATATTTGGATGATATGTTTAAAAAAGAAGTATTTTCAGTTTTTCAAGGTTCTTAGTCACTTGAACTGGCCATTAAAATATATTAACAAAGAACGATGTAACAAAGTATTAATGTATTAGTAATTAACTTACTAAAAGCATACAATAAAATATTATGTGTGTATGCAAAGAGTCAGAAAACCAGGCAACATAAAGCAGCATAACTTAAGTGGAAGCAGTGGAGTTGTGTTCTAAGTAACCTCAAGACATGGACCATCATTTTGTTTAAGAAGGTTACGGCATAAGATGGGAATTTGAAAAACCACTTTTGCCTTGTTGATGTAATGAGACAGCTGTTGTCTCTAATTTCTCATTAATTTGGAACTACTAAACAACAATCACTATGCTGATAACTAACTGAAGGTGTTTTATTTAACAAAAACTAGGTCTGTGTATACTGAACACATGGCAAGAGTCATGTTTTCAATATTGCTGTAATGTTTCCTTATGCACATTAGGTGTAGCTACTGTAAGGCCACTGGAAGCTGTTAATTAAAACACAAGTATCAGTTTTTCTTCTTTGCAGTGTCCTTTTTTATTATTTTCTTTAGGTTAACAAATTCTCTACTAGCAATCCAGGGAACTCTGTAGTTCAGAGATTTTTCTAAAGGGTTCACAAGCACAACATTTATTTCTAAGTAAGTGTCCTAGCAATATAAAATAAACATGTCTTTATTGTGAGACAGAATATTTACTGTTACCCACTCACAAAGATCGTTAAACAAGAAGAATGTAATACTAAAGCAAAATTAGTCAAATAATACAAGAAACCCACCCTCCTGAGAATTTTTCTAAACAAAAGACAAAAAATTCACTATTTCTACAGTGATGTGGCAGCTATAAAATAAGAAATACTTTCAATATACAAAATTTTTTGTAGGAAATAAGTCTTCTCGTGACACAGTATGATTTGTGAGTAGATCTTCTTTCTTGCCTACAATTCCCATTTTTTTTAGACTCAAGTTAGTATTTGCTTCTTTAGCTGAGAATGTAAAAGTTGAATAAATGTGACCTTTTTGTACTTGTGGATTATAATCATATACTATGAAATATCTTCAGGTGAATTGAATGCAACTTTAAAAATATGTCCAGAATTAAAACAAACAAAACCCCCACAACCAAACCAAAACAGAATCCCTATTAATTAAGAGGTATTTTATTCAAAAATTCTAAATAGCAGAATCAACTCAATACTTATATTTTTCAGTTTATCCAATCATAACATTTTGAAATGGTATACATATATAGAAAAATACAATCTAATAAATCAAATTTGAATTAGGATGAGAAGAATAAGTTGGAAAAAAAACCACAGCTTAATAGCTATATATTTGATATCAGTACAAAATTACAGTGCCACAATAGCCGCTTCTTTTTACAAGATTTATAATTTAATAAAAATAAGGTGACTTCAAATGTATATTGCTCTCCTCAAATGTACTGAAGGCCTTTGAAACAAGTTCATAGTTACTGAAAATATTCCCATTTGTTACGAGTGTTTACTACACAACTAAGAAATCCAAAATCCAGCACTCTCGTACGTTAATTTTCTGCCTGTGAAAATAATCCTCTACTGATTCAATGCACAAGCAAAAACAAAAAAGGCAAAAAAAAAAATTATTACAAAGAAATAGTGTTGCATTTTTAACGTCTTAATATCATAACACACACAGGTTTCCTTCATGGACTAGAAAGGGCCTCCTAAACCTGCAAGCCTTTTTGATGATGCAAATGCGACACTAATCTTCATTTACTTTGCAAAAGCCAAGGGTCAAGTTATTTAACCTTAATGCAGCATATTTTCATCACATGAAAGGTTAGATTTCCTGTCTCATATTAAAATTCTACACACTGGAAAAAAAAAATAGACCAAAATGCTAAATACCATAATCACATGAAACAGTAGTAGTACTACAAAGTCAGACTCATTATTATATAGGCTCTAGTCAAATTTTCCACAGTGGACCTAAAGAACACTGTACCAATTCTTAGTAACTCAGGAGTTAGTAATGGATGCACCTTAGAATATACATCATGTTTCACTCAATGTGGGTGATGAAAAACTTGCTATATCATTCATTTATCACCTCAATTTAACACACTGGTTTTGTTAGTGTCCTTAAAAATACTGATGCTTGGAAATCAACAAATGCTATATTCCTTGTTCTTAGGCAAAGAAAAATAAGCAGACTACTAGGCAGTGAACTAGATCTGATCATGTTATATTGCACTTGGGAATTAGAAGCTAAAATTCAGTACCAATGATCCCATTCAAGGCAATGAGAGTTATTACAGCTCAGCTTCTAATCATGATAGGAACTGTGGGATTTGTTTGTGACAGGAGGCCACAGCCAACAGAGAACTAAGAGGTTCTTTCCATCTCTGAAATAGACAAGCTGTAAGGCTCTTCCATGGTCTGCCAATTTTTGTATTTTCATTTTCCTTTTATAAAATCCTATCATTTTTTCAGCATTAAAAGCCAGCAGCCCTGAATACAAAGGGTCACATTCAAAGCAAGATGCATTGCATGTCAGGTTTTCTATGACTTCATTAGACTCTGGAATAGGTCTTTAGTCTGGACCAGAGACAAAAACTGACTAGATTTTCACCAGGGTAATGCTGCTTTGTGACTACTGGTGACAGTGTAGGAATAAACACTGCAGGGCCTTTGCCAGGGTAACCAACAGATTTTTGCAACAATTGGGTTTGCTAAGTGCAACATGAATCTTTAGGATCACCAAGAACATTCTGATTATAGTTGACATATTTTCAAAATACCTGTGAGAGTTTACCATAAAGATTATGTAAGCATCAAAGTTTAGAAATAACTAAATATTAAAAGTCTTTGCTTGGAAAAAAATGCTTTATAAAGAGCGAGCATATAAAACTTTCTTAAAGTTTTCACAAGCATTAAGTGAATCAAAGATCAATGTGTAAATAAAAATTTAAAACAGAAAAAATGGGACAAATAAAATGATAAACTTGATACTGATATCTGTGAACATTTCTTCAAAAATTTCAACTTCTGCTGATAAATGTATCCTATATTTGACTTTGCAGTCACTCTTAAACAAAAGCTATCTCCAAAATGTGTAGTTTATGGAAAGAAATGTAAACCTATAAATTAGGTTCCTTATTTTATGTTTTCTAAATATTGTCAGTCAAATTTAGTATTAGATAATACGCCTTTTGTAATAGAAATAACTTTTTAATAGTGATCATGAGATGCTACAGTAATGGCAAACTGGAGTACTTAGAGAATTTCATAATTCATTGTAAAAGATATATCTCTTAAAATGTTTTCATTGTCTAAATAATTACATAGCTGTTGAATTTATATAATAAAAAGTAATGGTGCTGAAACATAACTCTCAAGAGGACTAGTTTTCTGTTACTGTACTTGTAATTCTTCAATACTTGCAGTATGCATCTTACGCCCATAATTTCTGACTCAAGGGCATTAATTTAATTTCAAAATAAATTTCTAAAAGTTTCTTTAAAAGTTTTAACATCATTCTACAATACTTGCTGTAAAAATACATCAGTGTCAGTATGTCAACATGAAATTTATATTGACACAAGTACATATATATTCTACAATCTTACTGCTGAATCTAGAACATGAGATCAAATACTTTCTGAACCCCCATTCAGGAACATGTCTTGTACAGAACCTTCCTGACAGAAATGGTACTTTAAACTGAATTTGATGTGTTATATTCATGTTCGCTAAGTAACCTGCGTTACCATTTACATATGGTACTGTTTTGTTTTGTTGGCTTTTAACCAAACTGGAAATTAGAGAACATGGAGAAGCAACTATTTGCTTTCATTCTCCAGTAGAATGCAAGGAAATAAAAATCATTTAAATAAGTCTTACTTTATATAGCTTAAGTAAATGGAAGAATCTTTCCATAGCTACAGCAGTTGTACCAATAAAATGTACCTTTTTATCCTGAAAATCATCAAAATGAGTTTCCAGTTGCCACAGTAAAATTAAGATGCAGCTAGCGCTGACAGTAACAATGCTATGGGTGCCTTTCATGTAAGCTGAAGAGATCTCGACTGTGCTTTTTTAAATTTATTTTCATCTCCTTATAATGCTTAGACATGCAAGTAGCCTAATGAGTTTCAAGTCACCACAGTGTGTACATGTAATGAAAGCACACATGTAAGAATTAGAGCTGTAATCTGTCTGACAGTCTCTTAAACCTTTTAACCTACTAAGACTTGGTAAAAACAATCTCCTTACATATAGATAATCAGTTCAAAGTGTGTGAACTAGAAGCCTGCATAAATAACTGAAGTTCTGTTTTATAATCACATCTTGAGACCAGGATCAAAGCCTGACTCCTGATTCTTTACTATATTACTAGTGACAATAAGTTATTTTATAAGACAAAAATAAAGTTCCCCACACTGAAGACCTTGAAAATTCAGTGAAGGCAGAATTATGCCCTATATCCTCTCATATAAACTAATTATATATAAACGAATTGTCTAAAACAAAAACATGTAAAAGGGTAAATATTCAAGCCTATATCTGATATATGTAACTGCTCCCTGCCCCCAACTTTGTTCTGCCTCTCTTAATGACTCAAATGCCATCACAGTTCAGTAAGAACGAACTTGACAACGAAAGCCATGTGCAGATTGTAAATTTTGGAAAGGATGCAGAAATGGGAGTTGAATCAAACTCTTCAGATAATTCTGGATTTAGTGGGTATTGCAGTATTTATGGGAGAGATGCAGCTTTGAACAGAAAACCCTAGATAAAAACCCAAACCAAAGCAGAGGTTTTGTTGTTTGAAGAGTTTGTCTACATAGAAATCTCACTGGTATAATTACAGTAGAAGTCTTTGTTTTTATATGTGGCTGCATACAGGGAGTTCATAATGTAATTTATTCCGTTTTTGGAATAGAGAGTAAACAAATCTCATATAAGGCACCTTTGTAATAGTTTAGGTATGTCCACTCTCAGGTCTGTGTAACACAGCTACGCATGTTTGCAAGCCAAACCACCTCCCAATTTGCAACTACATGTTTACTGAAATGTATAAAGACAATGTTGTTCTATTCTCTCTTAAATATAAGAAGCTCAATTTTGCCACACCAAGCTAAGAATAACAAACACGTGCTTTAAACCACTGAATTTTTGGTAGGTTTAAAAAACAAACAGTTAAAGAAAATATTTAGTATCTTTTATGGTAATGAAATGTATTGACATAATGAAATGTCTTGTGCAATGAGATGCGTCTTGTGCAATGAAGCATACTATGAGAGAAACACTGAAAAAACAAAATAAAACAAGGCAAATTAACAGTCTCTTTACAAACAAACCCTCCTGCATTGCCAGCTACATACAGACTTCATTTGTCAAGCTCACTGGTCTCTCAGGGCAGGTGGCAAGGCAGGCCTGACAGTAGCGGAAGTACTGATGTAATCTAGTTATGTTTGGCTGGCAGATACTCTAATTTAAACAGTCCCTGTATTACTCCATCCTGCACTTGGACATGGTCAACCACAGGCTGTGAAAATTAATAACAAGTTTCTTACTGTGCATCAGGTAACCTGTCACAAAGTATTCCTTCCATTGTTTTGGAGAAACTGAAATTCAACCTGAGTAATATACAAACTTAGCTTTCAACCCTGTGGAGGTTTATCCTTGAATATAAAGGCTATGAGTTTTCTCATCAGACACATCTGTTGGCAGCCACAGTCCAATATCTTGTCCCTGGCAGTATCTGAATTAATTGCTACCAGTAATTCTGTGGAACACCTGTACCCTTCTCTGTGGAAAAGCACAGCAGTCTTTGTATCTTGCCCTGAATCTTTTCACTAGATCTCATAGAAAGTACATCATCCCCAGCTTTCTATGGCTCACTTCTGTTTCTGTAAGCTCAGTCCCTCCTGTAAGAGACCTAGGACCTGGAGAACAACTATTTGTAAAGTCTAGAGGGAAACCACAAGACTGAGCCAGAAGAGGAACAGGCATGCAGATGTGATTGATTACACCGAATAAGCTCAAAGGAATAAGCACTGGATATTTTTTTGAGCAGGAGGAAAAAAATAAGCAGAGTTAATGGTCAAAGAATATTCTTCAGTTTTGTAAAACAAGCTATACTCATTTTTTTGTGCAACTACCTTTCAAGAGCTAGGAAATGTAGTATACACCAACAAAAATCAATCAAAATGTGTGTAATCCATCAAGTATCTATGGGAGCTGTTGGCTTCAAGAGCAAACACAGAATCTGTGTAGCAATTCATGTAAAGTTGGTCAGTGAATCAAAAAAGATGATGTCTCCTACGTCCCAGTAAGCAAAATTATAGCACTACATATTATTTTAATTTTTTTCACACAAAAATCAGTGCAGATGCATTAGTCACATGTATGAACATAAGTAATACAAAAAGGAGGATTTAAATATATTGCTCCTATTTTGTACATGCTGATACATTCCAAGACCAGCAACTTTGCAGTCATGAGTGTTTTTTTCTTTGGGGGGAAAAGCAATGTCCATAACCAAGATGTAGGCATTTAAAAAATTCAGAATGTCTTACAGATAAAACTCTGCTTAAGCTTCTGATGTTCCTTCCCCGTTCTCATGTGGTTGCAGTTGTTCTCTTTCTTGTTCTTCCTGAGGTGGTCTCACACGTTTGAAAAAGCCCATCTGTGATTCAGAGAACAATAAAGAAAACTGTGCTGTGTTTTTCAAACATACACACATCCTTTCTCTTTCATAATCAGATTTTATTAGATATTTGATTTCCCACCCACCCCACCCCCACTCTCTTTTTCGTTTTTCTTGGCCTCCAAAGAAATGTAACTGATTCAGCTGATTAAGGGACCAAGGTGTTTCGGTAAGCTGCTGGTACTATTTGAAGGAACACATCCCTAGTAGGGAAAAGAAAACAATACAAATCCCCAAATATGGTACTTACCCTGTACATAACAAATACTAGAACAGCCAAGAGCAATAATCCTGCTAGGACAGCCAAAATTATAACCCACACTGGCACAGGCATAGGCTGTGGTTGAATGCCCCATGTAATGTTTGTAGTAACCTAATAGAAAATCACAATAAATCACACTTTGCACAGCAGTGACAAGCCAACTTCATTCATGCAGTTTCAGTCTGGTATACTTCAATATATTTAATATTTATTAATCATTTAATAATACTTAAATATGACATATTCTCTTTCATGTCTCTATGAAACCCTCCAGGGTTTCAGATGGTCCTTTTGTTCCACATTCACATAGTACTTCATATATATAATAAAGGTCCATTATTCAAGCTTTAAATGCTAATACAGTAGAAGACAATTTTCAAGTAAAATATTTCACTAACAATAATGGTATTAACAAGAACATTAGGACAGTTCATCCCGTTTTTCATTTTAAGTCTTTAAAGCTACAATTATTGTCAACTCTTGGTTTAGGGCAAAAAGTTTTGCTTTGCCCTCAACTGTATGTGTATAACTGAAATTAATATATGAGTCAAATATTTGACAAAATTATCATTATACCAATCCACAGAAAGTTACTCAATCATCACTGGTTTTGTATTCATTTCAAAGTAATTATGTGTGGTAACTCAAGCTGGATGTAAATGACTTACTACTGTAGAATTGTGGATATCTTCAAAGGAAAGGTTCTTATAAGGAAATTCTATAACATTGAAAGAAGCAGAAGATTTGAGAGAATAGGAGTGATTCTGATTTTCTTTCTGTGTAAGAAAATACAAAATTAGTATCACGTGGATAAAAAAAAAAAAAAATCACTTTTTATGTTTCAGAAGCAGAGACAGAATATTCAGTCACTCACATTCATGAAAGTTTGGGTCCAAAGGCGTGATTTTAAATACAATATTGCACTCTTTCCCCTTTCCAGGTGGCCAACTTGACAGACTATCTTTAAACAATCAGCAGTTCCACAACCCTGCATATAAAAATAAGGAAGGATATTCTGAACATGAAAATATTTGAAAAGTCATTAATGCCATTACCTTACTATAGACAATTTTTTGGCCTCTTTTCCTGGCAAAGCACTAGAAACAAATCAAATGTATTTAATAACCCCTAATATTGAATAATTACTTACAGTCTCCCAAAAGTTTACATTCAGAAAATTATTACATGAGCCACTTGGATCCCAAACATGAAACAGCTGGAAGTGGCTTTAAGGTATATACTTTATCTATGTACATAGCAAAAAAAGTCGGAGGGTGTGGGGGGCAGTTTCTGATCAGTTCACATTACCATCCTCCATATAGTTTTTGACAGGAAAACTTATGGCAATTATCTGCACTTGGTGCCAACAAAATATGCTTTGTTGCATTCAATGGAAGTCTTCAAAATTAACTGACTGCCCTGATCTGTAAGCCATACTTAGGACTACACAAGTTCAACTGGCCTTTCTCAACCACATTTCCATTAAAATCCATCAGATAATACTGATGTTAAACCATGAGTTTTATGAAGAAAACAGATCAAAAGAAGGCTTCATTTTATAACTGTGATTTTAGCTATATTATAGATAAAAGCACTGTACAGTGAAAGTACATTTGCCAGTGTAAGTACAATACAGTGAAGTTATTATGAATACTGGATATTAGTCTGTGAATTAGTCACTGATTCTGAATGAAGTGCCCAACTTGACCTTTGTTTTTCAGGACTTGGAAACATAACAGCACAAAATCATAGTCATATGTCTCACTGGCTGACTACCCCAAGGAAAACTGATGCATACTGGGGGAAAACCCAACCAACAGCTCAAGAGCATATGACTTTTTTGTCTGGTAACCGTTTAAATGGAGGACATGGATTTTTTTGAAATTACTCTTCATCCCATGGAACTTTCATCTTCACCTTCATTTTAAAAAAACCTAAAAGTATTATCAACATATCAATGCTGAGAGCTTACCAAAGTATGCACGTCTCCTTCAATGGCAGCTATATCTCTTCGACTGATACGATGATGGCGATTATCTTCCCTGCTAATTGTTTCATTCTTATCACCATCTTTAGAAGCAGAAATCTAGGATACATGAAGGAAAACCAATAAATAATTCTTACATTTAGATACACTTGAAGAATCCTAAATCAACGTGAAGAAAATACATAATTAATCCAGTTTCTCTCTTCCTAACCTAGCTATTCTTCAGACTCTGACTTTACCTACTGCTGTGATTAAAATGTTACTCCTGCCTTTATTAGACCACTGATGCAAATTTCTGTTAAGAACTAACACAGAGCCTTGAGTATCTTAATTATTTTTCACCTCAAACCTTTGTCATGTATAGAAAACAAATACTCCTCGACTGCAATAAATAATTTAACTTTGCAATATGTTAAAGATTCTTCCTCAACATTTCTGGCTTTTACTCTGAAAAAATAGCACTAGTATGGTACTGATGTACCATATACCCCTGTACACATGTACACATGTCCAGACATACACAGGTCCAGGAGGAACTGGAAAAAGTGAAACACCTGTATTGACCTGTGTGGCATTTGGGTGAGGGCCTAGATAAAAGAACTAGTAATAAAAAAAAATGTGCCATTTTCTTCCAAAAAATAAACCCCAGAATATTTACATAAACAGCACAGAAGCATCTGGCATGTTTTTGTTCATGACCACATTCAATATAATTCCACTGCTTTGCATTTAGAGCTCATACCATACAGTCCTCAAGAGAAAAAAAAACAAGACAATTTATTTTGGGGTTGACAATCTATTGTCTATTTTTTATTTCACCTGCTATATACATTGACAAGTGCTATCAAACAGTGCAGTCTCATTCCTTAGCAACAGATGAAAACTTAACCCAGATAGTGTTAGATATTCTCAGGGATTTGGGTATTTTGAGTGTGGTTTTAAAACAAATATACTTCAAAAGGAAAGTCCTACTTACCTTAATTTTTAATGGATTGATTTCCATATCAGAAGTGCAGTTCATGGGACCATCAATTTCATACTGAACGATATACAACAGTGTGTAGTTTTTGTATTTGTAAGGCCACTGCAGAGTCATCATCACCTTGCTGAATGCACTTGGACCATTGTTTCTTAGCTGATTATGAAAATAAAGGTAACAGATATAAACTAAAAACTGAATGCTGCCTTCTTTGTGCACGTACTTCTTATTTTAAATGATAAGGCCACTAACCTTTCCCCAGCTACTTATGGGAATAGCATCAACTTGACCTGAAAATGGTAGCTAAACTTCAGTCCCCCAACAGGCAAAACATAAAATGACTTCTGTATTCAGTAAAAAATACTTTGAAGAAAAGCCATATGGAATTAGGTTTTTTTGGAAGTCTGTTGCACAAATCTCAGCTACTGTATGTGTCTTAGCCAAGAGACTCCGAGCACAGATACATACACCCTTAAATTTCATTAGATAAATGGTCTTCTAAGTTTTAGAACAACTTTTAACTATTCTTATTCACACAGCTTTCTCAGTAAATTTTGCTTAATTAAAGAATCTAGATTAAGGCTGTGATCATTCTTTTAAGGAACTTTTAAATACTTAAATTTTTTCAAGGCAAAAGAATTTACAATAATATTTCAGAACAGTTGGAATATCAATGAGAATACTGAATAATTTACAGTATAAGTTACTAAGTTACTTCAAAAGTTTTATCTAGATTTTTTGAAAGGAAGTAAAGGGCTAGGAAGTAAAGGATGTGTAATGATGTAAAAAAAAAAAAATCAGCCTTTTCTATTTGGCTGCTGCAAGCACTGCAACCCTTCTTGCAGACACCAGTTATTGACCCAGCATTAAAAAAATTAAATCTTTGTTTCCATGCAAGAACAAATTGAAGAAAAAAAATTGTAATTTACTCCAGAGAAAAGCTACACCAAAAAGATTTAATTTAACACAGAACTGTGAAATTGAAATGAGTAGTAACTGCACACCTCATAGATATGCTGCACTAGAGGCCCAATATCATCTTCTGTTTCTGGATTCTCTTTCGGCTGCCAATTTGCAACAGGAAGGAATATGTGATCAGGAGACGATACACTAAACAGCAGAGCAAACAAGTCATTATTATAAAGTATAAATGATGAACATAATTCACTAGAAAATCTCACTAGAAAATTAACATGCTTAAAATACGATCTCCAATTTTTCTTCCTCTGCATGAAAAAACAGAAAGAAGAGATCGAGTGGCCTTTATATTAAATGTTCAGTTTTCTTCAGCACATGAAAACATGAGCCTTCTATTCAGATCTTTTTTTTTCCTGCCCTAAACTTTGGATTCATCCTACAGAATCTAGTAAACCATTAACAGAATTGATATATACAAGTCATCCAAAAACTACAAAGTGTGCAATACTTAGATAATGGAAATATTGATGATGCAGAGACTTATCAGTACAGTGATGACTAATTCAGCATGCAGTGAAAACAGTGAAGCTAGCAGTAATGGTTTTCAGTTGTGCCAACCCACACTTCTCAAAAAGTAACAAAATTAGACCACAGTAATGAATGTATAATAATACAATATTAATATTATACTTCAGATTGATGAAGCTGAGAGCATTGCAAACTTATCTTCAACAGGATTTTCAACTTTGGTTCTAAAAAGGATTTTAGAGGTTTTTTGGATGAAAACAGAGTCAGTTCACAGAGGAGGAAAGTGACCTTGAGAAAAGTGTGCAACTGCGAAAACGAGGGGCAATTTTTATTTCTTCTCCTAAAGAAACCTCTGGTGAAAGAGGCACAACACTCCTTTTTGGAATTCATTTTGTAATTATTTAGAATTATTTATGATCTGAAAGTTCAACAGGTGGATAGAGAAAAACATAATTTCTTTACAAATTCCCTAAGGCTTCTTTAAAACTTACACAGATGTGAAAGAAAGTTAATTAGATATAAAGATGCAAACATACAAAACTTATCTGAGGGAGACAATTATTAAAACAGTATCAATGCTTACCCTCTAATTTCAACAGCTGCTAAAATTGCAAGGTCAGCCTGATAGAATGCTACTGGACTTAGATTATCATACAGGTTGGAACTGCAGAGAAAATAAAAGTTAATCACTGAAATGAAATAAGCTAAGTATTTAAAACTCCCAAACCTTAAAACAACTGCGTGAACACCATATCTCTTCATCCACTATAGGAAAGCACAATTACTAAAAACTAAGAAGCAGATTCCAGCAAATTCTCACTTAAATGCCTGACAGTCCCACCCTCAGCACAGTTTGGAGGTTACTCAGCGAGCGGACAGAAGTTAATAAAGGACAAAGAGCTCATGCTGACTCCATCCTTAGACTGCCACATGTAAAAAAATTCAAATGCCAGTGCTGTGGGATAACAGCATCTCTATAGCTAGCAGAGCCCTAAATTCCACAGTTACGACATGTGTTTTGCTCAGAGACTTTTTGGCCTCAAACTAGTCCCAGGACAGAAAAACACACTAGGGCTACTTTTGATTACCCCTCTTTACAGTGTTTAAACCAGTTTACATCTGATTCCTACACTTGAGATGCACCAAGAGATGACAGATATCAAGGCACACAGAGTCATTCATACATAAAATTTCTTTGGACTTTCTTTGTAAACAGAGAAAAAGAAATACAGGGAACACCTATTCTCCTCAAAGTGGAGCTGGGAACAGAATCCTGATCTCCTTAGACACATATGATTATTCTGTCATTTTAACCAGTTTCCTTTAGAAAGATAGAAGATCTATTCTTCACTGCCACTGTAATCAACAAATACATGCAACTGTGTTTTCTTCCTGACCTGTAAATACCAATATGTGCACTGGCACAGCTTACTAGCTGATGGAGAAGAGGGGAAAAAATTTGAACACACAGCAATGTGAGATCAAAGAGATATTTAATGCTGCCAAGGCCTTTGATCAGTATGAATCACTGTATCATTAAAGTGGAATGGTAAGTTTAAACTTATTTAATCCTTGTAGCCAAATGTGGATGAGAATAATTTATTCACTAGGAAAAAAAATAAATAAAAGAAGCAGCCCTTAAGTGATAAGAAGATAAAAAAATCCCAAACAAACACAAAAAACAACAGAAAACATAAAACAACAACAAAAAACAACAAAAAAAAAAAAACACAAGAAAAACAACCAAACACCAAAACCTTTTTCAACCATGGGGGGAACAACCAACATATATTGCCTTTTCTGAAAGGCTTATACCTCTCATCCTTAAAATACATAAAATTTGAAATTCTGGCTTTACTTCAGAAGGAATTCAAACATCAATTTTAAAACAGGGCTAGAAACCCAAAGGCACAGTCATTCTGTGGCACTGCACAAATGTCAGACGACAATGATATGCAGGTAGAAAAATACAGGGTATTTTAAAATGGTTTTGTTCCTCATTATTAGTATTTCACTTGTGCCATGACCTGTCTAAAAGCTGTAAGCAAAATAAATTACATTCCAGCAGAAAATTACCTTTTCTTACATTTTCTCCTCTATTTTAGAACACAAAATTCATCTAAAGGGTGTGTTTATTTTTTAAGCTAGTATGAAGCAAAGACCAGAGAATTAGTCCAGAGTATCTACTTAGTTCAAAGTGTATTTACTTAGCATGTTTTCTACCAGGTGAGGTACATACTCCTAGATTTCCATACCTTCGAATTTGCAAGTCAAACTTCACAGAGGTATCCATTTCAGACTGCTGGTGCACACTGAAACGCAGGCCAGCTAATAGCTTTAGAAATAAAATCACCATGGCTCAGTGGAAGCATGATAAAATACATGATAAAAGCTTCTTAATACAACAACAAAAAATATATATTTATATATATATATTTATATATACTTAATATACTACAACAAAATTGCTTGAGGCTTGTAGTCATAAGAGAGCACACACAGAGAACTGGCAAATAAAACTTGTCCACTTCATCAAGATTAGAAATGTATGGTCCTCTTTAGATTTCAGCCAGTGCATCACTACCACAAAACAGAAATGTAATATTTACAATCATGCTCACCCCCCTTACTTAAGCCATTTCTACACAAAACTGAGTCTCCCTATGTGTTGCAAAAAGCACTGTAGCCTGAAGAAGAGGGCACAGTAATGATTTGAAATTCAGTTCCCAAAGTTTGTTCTATGTCAGTGATGATAGTTACTTCAACATATGTACTGTTCAGCTTGATGTATTTTAAAGACTTTGGGAATAACATTTATTCATCTATTAAAAATGTCTCATGAAAGAAAAGCACCTTCAAACTGTTTATAATCATGACTGATCTTCACATTATTTCCTCGGAAAATAAGACTTATTGCATAACATCATCTTAATATCTGCTAGGTCCCACTAATATTTATTTAATTCTTCAAATTCCAGCTACATTTGGTGGAAGTGCAGAGGTCTCAACTAGACAAAACTCTCTCTTAAGCCACAAAACAAGGCAGAAGAGAGAAGCATTATTAGGTTTACACTAAAAAAAAAGGTGTGTTATGAGCTAGCTCTTTGTTATATACTAAAAATACATATCCAATAAATCTAAGGACAAACTGAAGAGACACCAGAAATAAATCTAAAGACAAACTAAAGAGGCACCAGCATTCATTAATTCCACTATTTAATTAACTACTCCTTTTGAGTTATGATATGACTCATGAACACGCCTTTCAGGCTTTAATTTAGCCAAAAAGCTAAAACAAATTATCACTGAACTAACCAAACATGTGGGTAGCTAAATGTCAGCTACATCTAATCTTAAATTCCTGTGAGTAAAAATCCTGCCCAGACACTACAGTGATTAAGAAAAATGCTGACTGTACTGCTTGAGATAACAGACACCTCTTGGACCAAACCTTACCTTAATTCCTGCTTTCATGGGATTTCCCAGGTCACAAACTACCATGCGAGTTTGATTCTCTGTTTTAAATGCACAAGACAGTCTTGCTAAAGCCTGCAGTAAAGCAGAAAAAAGAATGGCATTCTTTACATCTGGATACCTGGATGAAAGTCTGGAGAAAAGTTCTAGATATGCTGTGTTAATTTTAATATAATTTCTCAGCCCTAACACAGTCAAGCACTAAAATTAAATAAAACCGAAGTATGAAAGTCTCCATGGAGACAGATATTTTTAATGTAAGATAGATGCTCTTTCCAAGGTTATAAAAAGAGAAATTCAATACTCCTACACTGGGTATCACTGATGATTTTTGTGACCTAAAGCATTTCTCCATATGATTCTTTAAAACCTATATGAAGAAACTCTGGCAATCATGCAAACTCTGCATAAGAAAATAAAGATTCAAATGCAAAATAACATGAATTCTTACTAGCTTACTCAAAAAGATGTCTTAAGAGGAGCTATCAGATTTTGAACAAAGCCACATCACAAAGCACTTAGAATAGCAGAGGCAAACTGGAGAATCAAAGCAAGGCATGGTCCAACATGTATGAAGGATGTGGTTGTAGATCAAAGTTGGAATCTTTTGATATAGGGCAAAAAAAGTTTTCCCCCTAAGATTCTGCAACGTGATATTGATTCATCACAGATTAAATCAAATAAAAACAATAACAAAGAAAATCTGAAAATATATTACTTCTGTATATCTGTAATGGGCTAAACCAAAATTTGGACTATACCCATGTGTATTCAGAGAAAGAGAACTTATACAGACATTTTCTAATACAAGGGAAAATTAGGAAACATACTTTCACTTTTTGCCTCACAGGTGCCTAGTTCTTTATCTAGCATGAGATGCTAAATCTAAATTTAATTAAGGGTACAATTCAAACAAAGTGTTGAAGCAGATAAACTTGGTGTGTCAAGCTCCAACACAGAGATGAGTATCATTTGTTGTTAGCAGTAAGCTCTTAAATTGGAACCATCCAACCAGGTGTTATACAGCCTTGAGGCTTGGAAGAGCCTTACCATTTTTTCAGTGCTTTACTTTAGGATCAAAGCATAAAACCCACCACTAACAGGCCCTCTCCCACAAACTTCCATAGCAGCACCTGAAATCTAACTACTCAAAGAAGACAGTTGGAATTTTACCTCATTGTTACGAACAACACCTACAAAATCTGCTTGGGGTGGAACAGTGACAAAGAGCTCTGCTTCATAGGCTCCTTCTCCTAGATTCTGGGCACTGACAATTAATGTCAAGGGATTGTCATCACCAATATAGATCTGCTTCTGATCACTACAAAACAAATGCAAAAATGAACTGTGCGTTCAGGTTTTCAACTGTATTGAACTGGTTGAACGTAGAGAAACAAGAGACATTCTGAAATTGCACAAGACATTAGAGAAATCTAGAGGCAGTACCTATGCTTCAGGAATATCAGGAGAGCTCTACACTATGTTTAAAAAGAAAAACCCTGTAGTATGTATAATCACAGAAACGGAGCAAATATTACATGCTGTTTTTTAAAAATCTTTTGTACAAAGTTCACAGTAAAACACAAAACCACCAACATTCCTTTAACAAGGAATAAACAATTATGAACAGCTAAATCACTGTGTACATTTTGAATTACATGCCTACTTAGCAGAGGTAGAAAATTCATAATGTTTTGATGGAAGGCTCAACAACAGAATACACCCAAGACCTCTGTAATACATTTTTTCCAAACACAAAAAGAATATCGGTTCAATGTATTTTAATTCCACCAACTACAAGGAAATGTAACTGTATCTGCACTGATATAAAATGCTTCTGAAGTATTTGCATGAATTAGTATATTTGTGAACTGTACTAAATACACACGCATATGCTACAGCTCTGCACTAAGGGCATGGAAAACCCCACCAGATGATGTTACTGAGTAGAGATAATTCACTTAAGAATGGCTTTGGGGCATAAAAAGCACAAAATATCACATCTTATGAAAGAATTATGAGTTGAAATTTGTTTCTTTTTTCCAGGTTTAATAAAACATACACCAATACCAACAACTTTTTTCATAAGATATGACAACACAGCTCTACTCTACCCCTTGCTGGATAAAATCACACCTGTTCACATCTTCATGGTGGGTCTGTCTAGTATTAAATGACAGAACAGTGGCACAATTGCAGCTCAGTGGCACAATTGCAGCTAACACTGATTTGTGCTTGCCATGCATGTCCAGCTTAGCAAGCATACACATAAATCCTGTGTACTTACAATGGGGGATAGGGTGGGGGTATGTGCTGTCCCTGTATTACCCGCTAAAAATATTAGGTTACAAAGCAGAAAATGGGTTTTCTTTAAGACAAATAAACATGAGTTTAGATTGTATACACTGAGGAGGTCTACTTATTTCAATACATCATTTTAACAAAAGTATTACAAGCTCTTGCAGTTTAGAATTGAAGTAGGGAAGTTCTTTTTCCCTGTAATATTTTTCTCATGTATTTACCTTTCTACTGAAACCTTCAGCTTTGGTTTGCAGACATTATCATCACCACAATCCAGCAGAATATGTGCCTATGCAAAAATCAAATGCATATTGTTGTAAGAATTCCTGCATCTGTTCTAACATACATTTCCAATAATGCTGTTTCACCACCAAATAAAAATTTTCTAAATAGCTGGTTACAAGATATCTTCAACTCAGTCTCAGAAGAGAACAAATGAGTTTTTATAGAAGGGGGTATTGTGCCTTATCCTGACACACTACAACTGTAGGACTGATGTCTACAGACATTAATTGTGTTTCCTCTGAATAATCTGTTCATTTGAGTTGCATCTCCACAATCCTCTTTACAAACAAGTGCAAAAATCTGTATAATGGGCAGGAACAGAAAAACTATGGTTATTACTGTAGGAGACTTATAGGAATAAATATAATATACATAGAGCAGCATAGTAGGAGCAATGGATGAAATACTTCAGTCCTTCAAGACTGACAACTTTAATACTACTCTGTCTACTCTTCTGCAGAAAACTATTCATTATATGCATGAAAAGGAAGTCCTGTCTCAAAAAAAAAGAAACCTGACACAGAGAGAAGGAAGACAAATAGACAAACATACAATAACCATCAATGTTTCCATAATTAAAAGACTAAAGTCTAGATACATATTTTGGTATCTTAATTCTTCAGAAGTTCTAAGATGAACCTTAGTATTGAAAGCTGAAAATGTGTTCTGGGTTCTGTCATCACAGACTGATGACAGAAGAATTATACCTGTCTGCTCATATTAGCGGGAGTGAACTGGTTAAGGATAGGCTGCAATCCTGTTGCATCTGCAGCTGTTCTGTAATCCAGACGATATTCCATAAAGATAGTAATGGGAGTTAGTTTGTCTCTAAATTCAGATTCGTCCTGAGGAAAACAAAATTTGAATTACAATTAGAACATGTGAAGAAAACAGCAACAAAAAATATCCTTCATAAGTCCCTATAGGCAACAAATAGTCATCCCAAGAACAATACTGAGCAGTATTTTTATTTATTGTTCATGTTGTAATAACAATGAAGAAGCAAAAACAACACTAAAACTTCTGAGCTCTTTTCACACTAGAAAATTTCTTGTTGGAAAATCTGCAGTGCCAACTTTGAAGATGGACAGTTTTGGCAGTAACATGCCTGTTTTACAAACGCAAACTTGGAGCATACAGAAGTATTAAGTCCTAGAACTGTAACAGTGAGGAGCCTAAAGGGCTATACAATCTCACTTTTTCCTGTCAGACAAAATTCACTATGCTTTTAAGATCCCTCACAGATATTTACCATTGGACATGTGATTTTTCCCCTCCTGAAATTATTACCTTGCACTTGGAGTTGCTGACTTTCATATTCATTTCAAATCATTCTGTTTATCAGATATTGATCCTGCCCTTCCGACATCTTAGAAACCATCTCTTTGCTTTATGTCACAGATTTTTATAACTGTAAACTCTGGTTCATTATTTTCAAAAATGAGAAGAATGAAAATAACTGACCCAGAGCTCATTGCAGGATCTTACTTCAGAAGCTATCTTCTATGAGCAGAAACCTATCGATAATAGTTTTCAAATGGTTCTGCTTTCAATTGAACATAATTTCATAGAGGTCATGTGTCATTACTTTCTTTATGAGAATGTCAGGTGGAAAAGTGTTAAAACTTTACTAATGATCTCGGAGGTGTATTTCCATATATACCCCACTCACAAGGCCAGTCAAAGAAAGGTATTACCTATCCTCCATGAATCCTTAATGATTACTAGTATTTTCATTAGTTTTGCAGATTTGTTTTGGTTTGGGGTTTTTTTGTTTGGTTTGTTTTTTTTAAGAAAGAAATAAGTATTGTTTGTTTGATTTATAAGCACTCAGAGATAAATCTAAGCTGCAAGTAGATAGCTACATTTTCAGATGTCTTTGCTATTTCAGCCAGTGTTTCTTCTACTGGGTTACACTTTTTAATTGTGTTAGCATCTGTCCATGTTTGTGGGAACAGAAAGACTGAGAAAAAGCAAGCTTCCTATTTCAACCTTCTCTGTCCCCTTTGTTACTTGCTGATCTTTACCTTGTAGTTGAAGATCCATATTTTTCTTTACCTCCAAAGTGAAAACACAACCTCTGCTTGCTGACTTTCACATTCCTTGGAAGTATAATTATAATTTTGTGCCAAGATGACTTGTCCAGGAAGTACATAACAATGCTCAGAATTGAATTTCTGATCCATTTAGTGACCAGGACCTTAGTCACAATAATACCTATTGTTCATACTCAGACAGAAGTGATAACCCAGGACAGACATATAGTTTCAGTAATTTTAGTCTATGTGGGGCATGAAGTGTCTCTAGCACTTATTTTTTCTTTTTTTTTTAAACACCTAACACAAGGATTCTGTAATAGACAATGCACCAAAAATTATTTGCCTAAAACATAAGTGGCTACTTACCCTCAAAAAGGCATCGAGTTCTTCACAATTCATTTTCCCCCCCTTGGTAATAGTCATGTTCTTAGTGTGGCTAGGCTGTTTACTGTGGAGAAACAGAGCTCTCCTTATAGCTCCTTTCTGCTTAAGTTTATCCAACAGTAGCTCCACTTGGAAATCTGTCCAATCCAAAGCGGTTAGGTTAGGGATATTTCATTCAATTAAAAACACTACAGATTCCCATCAGAAATGGAGCTGAATGCTGATTTCAGTTACAATGAAAACCTAGTATTTAGAACTTTTAAAACTTCCCCTTCCTTCAATATAAGAATCTGTTTCTACATTAGTTCTCTACATTAGGCACTGTTGTCCTAAACTGGTCTCTGCCTTTTCCTTAAACACTGGAAACATACAAGAAACATTCAAGGCCAGGTTGGGCAGAGTCTACATGGTCTAGGGTGAGGCATCCCTGCCCATGGCAGGGGGGGTTAGAACTAGATGATCTTAAGGCCCTTTACAACCCTAACTATTCTATGAAGAGCCGTGATACATTTATAGTTGCTATAGAACTGCATGAGCAAGTTAAACTTTCCCCCCCCAAAAAAAAAATTTAAAGCAATCTTGTATGTAACACATTACAGCATGTAACTGTATTGCTAATCTAATTACTTTGAATATTTGATATAGATAATGAAATTTAAAATATGTAACAGCCATTTATATGAATCTTGCCAGATGATACCACCTCTATACATGCCATACAGAAAATAAGGAAATTATTTTAGAATCAGTAGACGAAACCTGATTGTAGCAGGCTGTCTGCCACACTACAAAATCTCTTAGCAGTAACTTAAAAACCTGTTTAAAACAATCTTTTCCTAAGTCTGATCCAGAAAATCTGATGAAAAAAATTAACAGTATCAATCATAAGGTCATGATTTCAACAGAAATATGAGAAGTCCTTTGTTGCTTGTCCATATTTTTCAGGCCTAACAATATACATGCTTGAATATTCTTTTCTAAAACTCCCCTCAACAAGAGTTGATCTCAATTCTGTAATACAAAGGATTTTCCAAGACTAGTTACACCAAGTGGTTAAACATATGTCTGAAGTCTCAGGTATGCTCAAATCTCACTGACTTCAACAAAACTTCAGCAAAAGACATGCTGAAGGTATATATAGATGTGTATGGTTACCAGACTGGCAGTATGGCGCTGTAAAAGGTAGTCAACGATAATGAAGAACAGTGACCAGTGCTCATGTCTGCAAACAAGATATAAAAAGACTTTAAAAGTTTTCAAATTAGCAGAACTTACTGAGTGAATTAGGGAGCTTTCCTTTGCCATCTGCTTTTAAGCAGAACTTTACTTTGAAGCTGTTTTGGAGGAAAAGAAAATATTAATTTCATGCACTTTTTCTCTCATTCTAAAATTCTTTATTATTTTTCTCCGTTCAAAGGTATTCTCTTTTGAGACTCTAGTTCATTCCCAAATGCTATTTTCTACTAGTGGAGAAGACACTATAACCTATTAATAAGTAGACAACAATGCAAAGCTTTGTAATCTTAATACATGCAGGAATAGCATGTGAAGCAGAGTGTTTATTACTGAAATCAAATGTGCCTCATCTACTTTTTTTGAAAACTAGAAGGAACTGGAATACCAAGTTAAAAAGGAAGTTAGCACTAGAAAGGAAAAGTGGGTTTGGATACAGTACAGGAGCAAGAACCAAAACCAGTTTGCAGAGATCATTTCCCAAATGTGTTTACCATGAGCTCATCTAAAAAGTAAGTTAATGGGTAAAAACACTACAAAAGCTGACTAATCCATTACCATCTTGAGAAGATCTTATTCTACTCAACACAGCCAATTGGCAGTCTCCGCAGGTGGGATGTAACTTGGTAGTCAATCTAGCATCCATTGAGGAGAATGTTGGACCTCCCACTGTTGTCCAAGTTCTTATTTTGTATTTATTGTCTGTTCTTCCAGAAATATCTATGCTTGATTGCCCTTTTTAATTAGCTAACTAGATTTCCTGAATCCTTTCAAAATTGAAAGTTTATGAAAATAAACACCAAAAACATCCCTCCCCACAAAGGTAAACAAAGATATCCTGCATACCAAGAAACCTTTACATCTGACAGCGAACAGGCTTTGTTCTCTGGGTTTAGAATGGTTGGATTAACTTCCAGGGCAGCATTTACTCTAATAACTGGTCTAGCCCTGCAAAGAAAACATCCTCTTGAACAGCATTCAACACCACGTTAGAAAACACCCTCCCCCTCAAATTGTGAAATATACACATGCACACTTAAGACAATATTTAGTGAAACTGCAATAACAAATAATCATTGATTAGAGAAAAGCGGGAAACTTTTCTATGTCCTTTCATTACTATCAGAGGCAGAACACAGGCAATTGTGTTAAGAGGATGTTCTATCCCTTTCTAGCCCAGACAAATTATTTTCCCAAAATGAGCAAGTATGGATGCTAGTATCAGGACTGCAGTTTAACAGCAGCACCCTGAATGTGTCAGAATCTAGAAAACTGTCACTTGGAAAGCCTTGAAGACATCCTATTTATATTATCTCTTAACTATTGAGAAAGATATATACTAGGTAGACTGTAGATTCACTCAGTGAAAACAGCAGTATAACCTTTTTTGATCTTCAGCAGTTTGGAATGTGGAGTTGCACAATTACAGACTCCCCTTGATGATGCTTGCTTTTGTAACTCAAGAGTGCCATTGAGCTTTGCTTGCATGTAATGTAAAAGCATAAAGGGATACTTACCTATACAAAACAGCTGTGTCAACACCAAAGGCTCCAACAATCAAATCTAGGAATAAGGAAGAAATATTACACATTACAATTCATTTTTTCAAATACACTGTCAGTGAGAGATGGGCTTCTATGAAGTTATTCTAAAGTGACATTTAGAGCAAAGGACCTGGGTATCCATTTTTGTCCACATCTGTAGCTCCTTTCAGCGAGTACCCAAAACTGGGTGGTATAGTGCGAGCAGCCCACTGCCCTTCAAGAATTTGAGATGGGACTGCATTTAAACCATTTGCTCTTCCATTGTAGATATAGACAAGTCCTCTCTTGCCCTCTCCACCATATGGTGCAGCAACTGCAATATCTGTAAACCAAAAGAACAATCACCAACATCTCCAGAGAGAACATATTTGTGCTTACATCAATAACTTCTAATTTTTGATATTACAGTTTCAGTATGTGTCAGTAGGGAGGAAATAAATGTTTAACAAGATCATATATCACAAACTTGGGGAGGAAGAGAATGGCAAGGAATAGTTCTACAAACACTTCTACACTTCAGTAACTGACTTATAGCCAAATCATACGGATTTGAGATGTTTTGGGGAATATTAAACACCCAGAATTGTTGGCACCAAATCACAAAACTAAGAGGGACTATAAGCCCATTTCATTAACACACTCATGTTCCTCCACAGTGTGTGACATTTTAATAATTCTGGAAAATTTAAATCAGCCTGTAACAATGGAAAATAGCAAATTCCAGTCAGTCCTGATCATGGCTTGGCAATGTGTTTTATGGACAACTTTCAGTTAGTGTAATTGTGCTGTTAAAGTTTAATAAATTTGGGAGTACTCATTATCAATAACTAATAAGAAGTAATAAACAAAACGCTAATTGAACTATCTGTAAAGACACCTTTACAAGTGTATGTAAGATCTAAATTAAACATTTCCACAGTTGGTTCACAGACGAAACATGAAACAATATACAGAATAATTACATTACACGTTACTTTTTCTGTAAATTTGAAAAAAAATCATGAAAAGAACAAGGACTCAAAAGTTTACCGTTTTGTATTTTTGACTCATCTTTACAAACCTTATGTAAACAGTAAAAATTCTTATCTTGCACCATACTGTGATGGAAAGCATTTTAATTAATACTCCCAAAATAAAACAGAACAGGAAAAAATAAGATTTAAAAGACTAGACTAAATAATGGCAAAGTAATTAAAAAAGAGACAAATTTTGCTATGATTTTCTCACCTACAGTGATTTCAGATTGAAGTATGATGGAATCAAAACATTTTTTGGATAGTCTCATTAAGTGACTACATTTCTGGCTATCAGCTGTAACCTTCTCAATGGCTTCTGTAAACCGTTGCAGTGATATTGCATCTTCACACTAACTGTATAATTTTAGCAACTAAAGGTCTAACTCAACCTATTCTGTAATACGATGAATGTATGATTTCATTTTAAAAATAAATTTGAGCTGCCTGGGAATTTGAAATATTAGCATATTATAAATTTTTATCTTTCAGAAAATATTTAGCTTGCAAGCAGAATGAAGAACTAAATATGAGCATTTTCTTGCAGAACCCAAATTCCTACCACTCTAGGCAACAAATCTGGAGTATGATTTGCATAACTAAGTTCTCCCTAGTATTCCTGGAAGTTTCTGTCCCCAAACCACATGATTTTCTGTTTCATTGCTCTTCATTGCCAAATGAAAGTAACAAGAAGCACTGGCAATGGGTTTGAGAGTCTACAGCTTCAGTTGTATCAGACTCAAGACTTCCCATCCACATACTGACTCCAGACACTCAGCTCTTGGTACAGATGGCTGTTGTTATGGGATATTTTCATCAGGCTCTTCTATTTTGAAAAAACAAAACCAACCAAAAATATTAAAAAAATCTAGACTTTTCTCAGGAAAATCTCTTCTATCAGGTAATTTTAAAAACCAGCTTTCTGAAACAAAACCTTCTTTTCAGTCATCTGAAGGGGAAAATCAGCTTTAAGCAATGGAAAAAGGAAAATTATATTGGAGATGTCCTAACAAGTCACAGTAGAGAATCAGGTATTTCACCAAAGTTTCTACTGTAATTAAAGTAGTAAACTGATCAGTATAACAGCTAAAATAATCCATGTTGTAGTTTAAATGGTATAGTCTCTGCTCGATGCATACATGTAACCCCTGTTAGCATTCTTGGGAGTAGCATACAAGCATCGAAAGGAGTCTAGACCTTAGTGTCCAACATTCAGTCATGGTTAGAATGCCTAAGGTTTGCATGCAGAATCCACATTCAGTGTGCTGTCTAGATTTCATGTTTGAATAGAAAATACTGATCAATAAATGATGTCCTACCATTGAAGCCATCCTGATCTATATCCCCCAGAGGTGCAATAGAACTGCTGAATCTTGCAAATATCTCAAAACCATTCAGCTTTGTGATGTGAAACCCTCCAGAGGCTCGTTGAAGGCAAATGGAAACTTGGCCGACCTCTTGAAGTTTCCCATCAGAACTTCGATCCATAAAAAGAGGGGCTCCAATAAACAAATCTGTATAACTGGAACAAAAAAAAAAAAGATAAGTTTCTTCAGTAATAACATGAAAGTTCAGCTTCCTTCTCTTCTGCATCTGTTAGAAGGACTAATTCAGCACTGAAGTTAATAATATGAAAGTTACCCATCTTTAAATTGTAACTGAAGGCAAAAACTTATTAAGTAAGCACAAATATACTAGAATTTAATGCATCTAAAGCATATGAATGCACACACGTATTTGTGTAAATAAATACAAAAATAAATCTACAACTTTTTAAAAAATGTTATAGAATCATAGAATAGTTAGGGTTGGAAAGGACCTTAAGATCACCTAGTTCCAAGCCCAATGCAAGGGCAGGGACTCCTCGCCCTAAGCCATGTCACCGAAGGCTCTGTGCAACCTGGCCTTGAACACTGCCAGAGATGGAATATTTACCACTTCTTTGGGCAACCTGTTCCAGTGCCTCAACATCCTCGCAGTAAAGAGTTTATCTAATCTGAACTTCCCCTGTTTAATTTTAAACCCATCACCCCTTGTCCTATCGCAGGGGGGTTGGAACTAGATGATCTTAAGGTCCTTTCCAACCCTAACGATTCTATGATTCTAAGAGTCCCTCTCAGGCATCCATGCAGGCCACCTTCAGATACTGGAAGGCTGCTCCATGCAGCTTCTCTTCTCCTGGCTGAACAGCCACCAACTTTCTCAGCCTGTCTTCATACGAGAAATGTTTAAGCCCCTTATCATCCTTGTGGTCTCCATTGGACTTGCTCCAATAGCTCCAAGTCCTTCTCATGTTGAGGGGGACACCAGAACTGCACACAGTACTCCAAGTGGGTTCTCACAAGAGCAGAGTACAGGAGCAGGATCACCTCCTTCGACCTGCTGGTCATACTTCTTTTGATGCAGCCTAGCACGCGACTGGCTTTCAGGACTTCAGGCACACACTGCTGGCTTATGTTCAGTTGAGTGCTAGCAAGAAAGTGTGTTGCACAAATACATGTTAAACCAGTAATGAAGACAGAAATCTAGGAAAAGACTTTAATAAAGTAGGAAAGACCTCCTACTTTTTTTAGGAAAGACTTTAATAAAAGCTTTTTTTTTTTTTCTTTCCAAAAACAAGCTGGGTGGCAGCTGGGAGAAGAGGGCACTTACTTGTCCTTATTGATATCTGTGGCAGCAACTGAATACCCAAAATAAGCAGCCATCTGGAAAACAAAATTCAAACCAAACTGGTGAGTTGCACTGATATAAACACACAAACAAGTTTATCTAAAGTTGTATAGAAAAGATGTTAGTGAGATGATAATATATACCACCATTTTTGTCGTTATTTTCCTTTCTATTCATTACTCTGTTAGAAAGTGAACCAATTAGTTACTTTCCCCATTCCCCATTTCATGATGCAGTCCTTTCTAATTCTAAAATAGACAGCATTTCCTTCATTTAAATAAGATTCCTTTTCTAAGTAGTACTACAAAGTGGGAACTCACAGAACACATACTTTAAGGATTCTTACAGACTTTTTTATATTTGGCACATAAGCTAATAACATACAAAATATTATATATTCCAGTACCCTAAATACTGTCTCAACATGTCAACTTTCCATAAGAATAGCCTCCCAGTCACCCACTACACTCAATAAAGCTACATACCTGCTCTCCAGTGAAGTTGTACATGGAAGACATGTTTTTCCCATTATAAATAGACACCTGCACATGAAGAAATACACATTTCAGCGCACCAGTTATTTTTGAGGGTTTTTTTGGTAAAGTTTAAAATTTAAAAATTTCAAATTCCTACCATGCCTAGAGTTCTTGCTGCTCTTGGGACTCCTGATACAAAGTCTGAAAGATAAAGAAAGACACCCAAATAACATCAGGTCACAAAGTGCAATGACTTTGATTGAACAGAGTAGTTCATTGCTAGTGCTCTAGGCATTTTCCTGTGCACTGCATCAGTTGTTCTACACCATTTATTTGAAAGACCTGCCCAGCCTATAACATGACTTTTTACTGAAGCAAAGTACTTACCTTCTATGCCATCACTATTGAAGTCTCCAACAGTCACCGAATAACCTGATCAACAGACAAAATTAGTAAACCATTTTAAAAACCTTACTAAACCTTTCATTTCTTTACACTCTTCATAGGTCTTTATGCTTTACCTTTAAACACAACGGAATAAATACTGCCTTTAAGTAGCTTAGACTGTGAACAGCTACATGAGTAGAATATAATTCACACCATCCATGAATTTGAGGTCAGAAGATGGAAATTTTAAAATTATCATCCTGGGATCTGTCTTAGTCTGTCCTTGTTTTTTTCTGAACCCGGTTAGACATATATAGAGGTAAATGATAACTTCCCACTCCTGTAAGGGACTCTCCATTATTTTTCTTCCCAAACATGATTCTTTCACATTTTATTTTGTTTTGGTAGATTATTTAGAAACAGCTGCTTTTCTAAAAAAATAGGTATAAAAAAATAATTTGGCACATAAGAATCATACCTCAGCCATTCCCAGATCCAGCTCAAGTCATTGAGCACAAAAAAACATGGAAGTATTTCCATTTCTTTCATCATCAAGTACTTTTTGAATCAAGCCTATGGCAAGATAACTAAGCTTCCATCATGCATAAATTACTGCATTTTCAGGTATGTAGCTCTTTAGTTATCTGTCAAGTGTTGAATTAATAGTAGTATGATTTAGACTTAAATATGGATACTGCAAGGGATTTTTTCAAGTACAGCTAGGTTTGCTTCATTTTCAAACTACGCACCCAAGTAGCTGTCATCAAAAGCAGCACTGGCAGGTCTGGTTGCTAACTGGTCATCATACTTTGCACTGTAGACTTTGGAGTCATATTTAGCTACAATCTCTGTTACTCGATCAGAAATAAGTTGTCCTAAAGAGAAAGAAACAGCTTAAAATGACAAATAAAATGTGTGCACATTCATTCAGTAAGCAACAGAACTCATTTACAGATCGCCTGCTTCTAAAGCAACAACTTTTCCCCAATACTGACCAGAAAATAGGCAACAGCAGGAGCACTAGAAAGGATATAAATGAAAATCTGTATCCAACTTCAGCAAAAATTTATGCACAGATTTAATCAGAAGCACACTAATAGTTTTCACTGAAAACAGAAGCTGCATGTAAACCAGGATTTAAATGGGTCTGCCCAGTTAGGTAACAGTAAGCATATGCTTACAGTAGCGCAGACCTGAGTCGTTGCTCCTTGTCTAAATACTATAACATGAGAGCTTAATACAGCAGCCAAGAAGCTAATGAGATGAGCATAGTGGATTACTGCCTTCTGTTCTCACTTCACCAGCATCTAAGTGGTGACTTCATCACATACTTTTCTTTGAGTTCAAATTAAATCTTGAATCACAAAAAGTTTTCAGAAGAGAACTTACTTCACATACATACTCATACATGTATGAAGTATAGAGAAACTAATCTTCCAGCATCTCAGAATGTGGAATAAAAATTTGGCACAAAAAATCTAGTTTTTAGAAGTATACTATTGTCTTCTATTCAGAGGCAAGATTTTTTTTTTCTGTTTTTGGTGGTAGTAGAGAATAAGGTTGTTTTAGAAGATGAGATGTCACTTTTGGTAAATAACATAATCTATATCATACTGTACCTTGAGTTTCAATTATTCCATTTTTATCAGAATTTAAAATGTAGCACAGGAAACAAGCTTCCTGTGCTGCTGTTTCTAAGTGTAAGCTGGCGTAATACAGAAAATCTCTTATAAACTTAGTATTAAAAAAAAAAAAAACAGGCAGCAGAGTTTGGCAGCTATGTCCTGATGGCAGCATCACCATCTTCTGAACAAAGAGCTATAGCAAAACATGGAATGATCCTGCAAATACTGACTGAAACCCACATTAGCAAAATATATAGGTAACGTTCTGTGTAACGGTGCAGTTAGAGGCAAAATATGCACCATGGCACAAAAAGATCAATATGAACAAATGCAATACATCTTTGCTGTCAAAGAAAAATAATGATAATTCTCTTTGGAGGGTACATTTCTCTTTGAAAATACACACTTCATGCATGCGTCAAAAATTACGAAGCATGTAGATTTTGAAACAAGAAAAATATCCTAATGGAAACTTATCATGTTCTTTTCTGGTGGAAACAAATTTCAGATTTCTGGAAAATGCCTTGAAAATGATCATAGAGTTATTTTTAAAAGACACATCTATACAATTATTACTTCGGTTTTAATCTGTAGTTGCCTTGATTATTCAGAAATATTCTGAAAGACAAAGAATTATTTCTGTTAGTTCTCTTACTGAGGAAGACTGACAGTGTTTGGAGGAGTGCAGATACAAATGACCAAGAGGCTAAAGACTAAAATCAAATAGTCAACTTCTCTGACTTAAATGATGTATCTCACCTTGCCAGTAAAAACTTCCAGGTCCTCCAAGCAGCACTCTGTCTCCCTTGGAGGGCAGGGAGAAAGAAAAAGAAAAAAGAAAACACATGAAGCATAAAGACATGAGAACATGTCTTACGGGAAGTAATGTTTATGGGAAGTAATCCCATGCATGTGTATCAGTGTAGCTTCACTGACCCCAATACGTTTTACTTTTTTAAGTAATGATTCATTGAAAATGCATCTTGTAAAATACTGAGATTAAAAAAAATATGCCTTCAGTGACTTGCTTCTCTATTTCACCCATTTAAAGTTCTAGGCAGAATTCTGCTTATATTGCAATAGACCCTTCCTCCAACATATATCTTAAGACAACAGAAATACAATTAGGAGAAATGTTAGGAATGTTACAAGATAATAACAACAACATGTTTTTAGGTTAGTACAAAAACCTAATTTCATCTTCTGCCCCTGCCACATTCTGTAACATATCTTTAAAAAAGTTTAATTCAGAAAAACTGTAATGTAATTTCCCTCAGTCCATATTCCTTAGTACAACAGCAATCCACAAACCATTTTATGAAACTTCAACCAGATTAGCTGTTCCAGTGCTGGGAATTTGTTAAGTACTGAAGTGGATCATAAGCTTTGCTGCATAATTAAGCCACTTATTCAGGTTTTAATCTTAAAAACTCCTATATTCACCACTAAAAGAATCTAGGTCAGAGATTTGGAGGTACCTTATACCCAGGCTTGCCCACTCAGCTGGTTTTGGATTAGAGCCCAAGGCTGGTTTTAACTGGGACTGGAGTCTGCACAGTAAGGCTGAGAGGTGTATGCAAAATAGACACAGTCCTACACTGCACTTTGCACACTTTCCTCTGGAGGAAAACAAGAGTGTCCTTGGGCTAACAGTGAAGGGATATGACACAATAAGACATTATGAGGTGTGAAGAACTCAAAAAACTTTCAGATCACAAATAGGACTTGTGTGGTCTTAACATGTCCAGACTATGCTAAACAATTTAACTATACAATATAAAAAACTACAGTTAGCGCTCAGATTTGTGCACAGTTTTAACATGCTTGAATTTAAAAAGTAATTGTGAATTTAAAAGAAAAAATAAAAGATCTATAGAAGGCAGGGAGAACATAAAAGTACGAAAACTAAGACAGCAAAAAAAAAAACCAACACTCTATCTGCTCCCTGATGAGAAAAACGAAACAAAATTCACAAGAACACTGTTTAGTAGTTCCCTTTTAGCAGTAAGTTATTCTTCCTCAGGAAATACACTAGCTATGCACCAATCCCTTCAAAACAAGTGTCTCAAAAGCCTGACTATTACAGATTATTTCATTTGAGGACTAGCTGCAACAAAGGTTTATAGTGGATTATTTGTTCAGGATATGATTCCTACAAGAAGTGGAAGTGTGCTGCTGTGAAGATGTAGGGAGAAACCAGTTCATAATATCTGAGTGGGTTGAAATTCTTTTGCTTATTTAAAAGAATGAATTTGGTCATGGTTCTTTCCCCCAGGAACGGTAGTTCACATTTAGTTTTGTCATAGCTTTGTTTGTATGTGGTTGTTAACTTGTAACTGTCTGCTGACTTGTAGGAATTGATGAAAAATATCACATACCTTTGTAAAGTCAATACTAAATCCACCTTGACAAAATCCCTGTCCATCAGCATCAATAGTGGCTACAAACAGGATGGATAGAAAAAAGAGAGAGAAAAATGAACAGAATAAATATTTTTAGTACTAGATCAGATGATTCTGTGGATACTTCCCAGTGCATCTTCCAAAGTAGCCTTGCACTCCTGAACTTGAACCTTAGAATTTTTTTTTTTCTCCTAAATCCATATTTTTGCTTTATTAACAATTCACAACCAAATGCTGTGTCAATTTTAGGGTTGGCCTGGTGTATACATAACATTGACATACATCCTAGCCTAACACAATCAAAGTAAACTGCAACTCCATATTCCTTTGTATTTAATTTTCAAAAGTTTTGGGGAAAAATATTTCCTATTTGTATTCAGGAAAAAAAGGTATCTGGAAAATAGGGAGTAAGTTTTTCTTTTGGTATGGAATGAAAGTCTGAAAGGTACATAATGGTAAGTTGCTTCAAGTATTGGCTTAAAACAAAAACAAACAACAACAACAACAACAAAGAATACCTGGCTGAACATCTCTACATGCTAAGACTGATCCCAGCAAGAACTGTTACGGCGGAGTTAATCTTATGAATATACAACTCCAGAGCAGAAATGTTGAGGCCCCATTATCTGGAAGTGTAACTACTTAACTAGCATGATTTAGTTTAATATATGCTTGTTTAACTTATTTTTATGTTGGACCACACTGGCTTTCATTCCTGCTGTTCACCAATGATCTTCAGCAAATAAGAAAAAAAAATTTTTTAAAAATGTATCTTTTAGACTTCCATATTTTAAAAAAGGTTGTAAGTGTCTGAATAAGCTACCAACTCAACTACATGATAGGGATGCAAAGCTTCTGGAAAATAAAAAGTCAAATGTTCAACAATGAATATAATTAAAACAATGCATTGCTACGTATGTATGCATACATGGGAATCAGAACTTACTTGTGCAAAACCTTGGCTTCTAAAATGAGCTTTCTCTTCAAGTTACTTGAATAACAACAATTAAGCTTCAGAAAATTCTACAGCTGGTCTTTGAATAAGCACTTGCTACATAATATTGCTCAAGTGATTACTACAGAATTGGTCCTTAAAAAAACTGAAATTCTCAATCCCAGTGATACTTGGATCTAAGATTTTCCTCTAACCTACAGTAGAGAATCAAGGTCTGCATCCTGAGCAACAACTGGAGGAGAATCCAGATGTCTGGATGTATCTTAGATTTTCTTCTAATTTCTACGAGGCTGCACATGGAAGGGGGAAATACGTGTAAAACATCCCACTTCAAATGTACACAAGATATAACACAAGAAAAATTTCAAACACAAAAGCAACAGAAGGTGTCTACACTTACTTGACCTGCAGGGTGCATATTCCACAGATTTAGATCCAGCAAGCAGGTAACAAGTTCCTACGGGCTCTCTCTCTTGTTTTGTTTCAGTTCTCCAGTGGTACAGTGGAGCACAGGCCTAAGGAAGAGCACACAGCAGTGAAGAAAAACTCCTCTTCAAAATGCTAGGGGTACAGACTAATATCCAATTTATACTATCAGCGCTGGGGCAGACGTATCACTGGTTTGTATCTTTAGAAATAGCTGATCTATCACAAGAATTTCAGAAACAATATATTGTTAAAGCAACAACTGGAAAGAGTTCATGAAGAATTTAGAACACATTCTAACGTCAGCAAACTAATTCTACTGCTTTCCTCAAAACCAGACAAAATCGCTACAATCTTTGTTTATACAAAGTTCAGAAAAGGCTAGCCAATAAATTCTGAAAAAGACAAGTCATGCTGATTAGTGGGATTTTAGTTACATTCTGAGTTATCTGGATCTTCTCACATTTTTTTTCCATTACAGTATTCCAGAACTGGGGCATTTCAGGGGCATCAACCTACCAGAATTTTATCAGTTTTGGATCTCACAGAGGCTCCAAACCACTGATGAGACTTAAATTCTAGTGGATCATCAGGAGCAAAATCTCTGTTGCCTAAAAATAAAAAAAAAAAAAAAAAAAAAAAAGAAAAAACAGAAGAATGATTTCACAGGCTTTAAAAATATCTATTACTCATTTTTACATCTTGGGCCAAATGCAGCTCTTTTTACATATGAAGCAGTAGCACGTTACTGATTTGTTGTGAGAACGCCAAGTTTATGGCATCTTTGACAATGACACAGTAAATACCTCATACTGGAGATATTTGACTTTCAAGTCAGATTACAGCACTGCTCAAGAATCAGTGCCAAAGCTAAGTTAGGACTAAGGATTCTGGAAGAAATATTGCCCTAATTAAATTATGTAAATTTACCTTCGGCTAGAATCAGAACAGAAATTCTTCTGTTATTCTACCAAGTGTTAATTTCTATTCTGAATGTCACTGAAGTGTACAAAGAACAGCAGCCAGCATTCTTAAAAACTACCAGTAAAGCGAAAGACTCTTCAGTAACAAAAAGGTTAGAGAGTTTTTCATATAGCTGAATAAGTTAAATAAGGGATAATTTGCCCTGATGTTTTTATGTGAACTGTTCAGTGATCAAGGTTAGTAGAAACAACTTAATGAGTGGCATTCCTGCAAGTATGAATGTTAAAAGTCTTCAAATTATTTAATGTCTCTTATGTACTTCCACTGGACCAACACTGGAAACTTTGCGAGGTGAGAGAATGAGAAAATGGATAGAACACTCTGCAAAACATCTGTTTTAAAAGAAGTCATCTAAATGGCTGGTTTATGGTGCCTAAAGATAAAGGAGTCAACAAAGACAACCGTCATACATCAGTTCCACAAACTGCTGTGGAGAATCCCCAAACCCTGTGAGTCAGACTTGTGACCACTTGAATCGAAACTTCCTTGCTTGTCTTACACCCTGTAAAGAATGTTACTTCCATAAGGAAAATCCCATGAAAAAGACAACAAAAGTGATTCTAATCTGTAGAGACGAGCAAGTATACAGACTGTTTTTTGCTTTTAGATTAGAACGTGGAAATGAATGCCAAGTGCATAGCTTCACAAAGAACTACCATGTTTTCTTATAATTTTATTAAAGGTAACTAAAAAACCCACTTCCTACTGTCATACACCCTCCTCCCCCACTCTCTTATTGAACACCTGCTAAATACAAAGGCCTGATGATTAGCACATCTGCATAGATTTATGTACGTTTGAACATTTGTACTATCACCTTTGCACAGACAGAAATGTAGTCTGGAGACCTGCATGTCACCTTCTCATGGTACAGAAAACCAAAACCAGATAAAGATGTATTCCAAATAGGGATTTGTCTTTAGCACACTTCTAAAATGTGTGGTTTATTGATATCTTTTCCCTTCTTCACCTTTAATTCACGAAAATCCACACAAGGACAGTATTGCTCAAAGAATGCAGTTACATGACTGAGTTTCAGATGAAGCTGCCACCAAAAGGGGCAGCAGTTCCCATTTGCTAATGTCCACAGGTTCCTGCAGGAAGTCTCTGTATTGGCACTACTGCCTTCTGTTCATTTAGTCCCAACATGAACCACCTAATAAGGTACCCATTAAAAAAAAAAAAATAAAATCTGCTGAATCAGAGACCAACCTAGATAACTGCATAGGGAGGGAAGTAGTGCTGTAACCTCCTGGGGAGAAGACAGAAACATATGGATGGGAGCAGTGTCTTTTTTGGCAGCATCAGGGACTTAAAATTGGTTTATTCTGCTAGTAACCACATCCAAGGCTATGCTGCCTAGAAAGACAGATTTGGCTTACATCCTCTGTTTGTCTAGCTACTCTTGAATATAAAGAAATCTCTCAGTTTTACCTGCCAAAAAAAAACCTTAAATAACAGAAAATCTGATAATGGTTATGGCATGGCATTTTACACCTTTCTCTACTCATGGAAACTTATACAATGCTATATATTTATGACTAAATTGAAATGTAATATAGCAGTTTTATAGGATAAAGCAGAATCCTGTTGTGCTAGGTACACTAAAAATGTCTAGGATGTAAACTTCCCATGCAAGTTTAAACAACAGCCAGCGAGTAGAAGGAATAGTTTTGCTACAATAACAGGTAAGCAGCCGCTCGACATTATTAGCAATCTGATTTTATCACAGATGTTAAGGAAATTAGTTAGGGAGTTGCTGATCAGCTTCAAACTGTTGTAGCACAGGAAAATGCATGAAGACACAAAAACTAGATAAAATAGAAAAGTACATACATTAGAAACAGGCTTTTTGGATAAAAAAATTGCAAACGCTAAATACAGGCCAAATTCGATGCTAACTCTTTCTTTAAAAAGTAACCTTTATTTACTCACACTCATTCAAAATTCTTCCCAGGAAAACACTGTGTAAATGGACTATAAGACTTTCCCTCAGATCTAGGAGAAAAACTAATTTCATGAGGAAATCTGGAAAACACCTTATCATCAAATATCCCCTTGCATTAAGTGAGAAACCATTTGGCTTTCTGTTCCTGAATGGGGAAAACAAACTTAAAGAACACTCAAATGCAAGCCTTCATTGAAGCAAATTAGTGTTAAATAACACGGTTTAACTATTCTTTAGATCTGTCACAGGAAGATACAAGACTGAGTTCAGCATCTGTGTTTTAGTGTAAGTAAAGGGCCTAACTTATTATTTTAGCATGGTATAACTTTTCATTGGTAGTTAAAAAAACGTGTGTTACCCCTACCCTTTAAAAACAGTACCTACATTAAACAAAGCAAATGGTAATGCAGGTAGTATTCAAACATATAGGGATTTATAAATGCAGACCAATATTTTGATGTATTATATGTAAGCCTTACTATTATAACAGTTCTAAAAGCCACTGCTGGTTTTCTTGTATTTCTAAAATTCAGAGTGTCTCAAGAATACCTTAGAAATGTCTTTAAAGCAATGATGTATGCAGCCCTGAGGAGAATGACTTACGGGGTTGGTTGACAAGCTTACCATGAGCTGCCAGTGTGCACCGGCAGCCCAGAAAGCCAACTGTGTGCTGGGCTGCATCAAAAGGAGCGTGACCAGCACGTTAAAGGGCGTGATTCTACCCCTGTACTCCACTCACATGAGACCCCCACCTGCAGTACTGTGATTCAGCTCTGGGGCCCCAACACAAGAGGGATGTGGACCTGTTGGAATCAGTCCAGAGGAAGCCACAAAGATGCTTTGAGGACTGGAGCACTTATGCTATGGAGACAGGCTGAGAGAGCTGGGCTTGTTCATCCTGGAGAAGAAAAGGCTTCAGGAAGACCTTAGAGCAGCTTCCAGTGCCTCAAGAAATCTGGAGAGGGACTTTTCACAAGGGCCTGTAGGGACAGAACAAGGGGGAACAGCTTTGAACTGACAGAAGGGAGGCTGAGATAGGAAGAAGAAATTCTTTATTATGAGGGTATTGAGGCCCTGGCACAGGCTGCCCAGAGAGCAACCTGGTCTAGTGGGAGGTGCCCTTGCCCTTGCCCATGGCAGGGGGTTGGAACTAGTTGAGCTTTGAAGTCCCTTCCAACATAAACCATTCTATGATTCTATGATTACTTGACTCTTATCCTTAAGGGAAGCTAGTGAGACTAACACTGCTATACAAGTATGTGGGATACTTCCTTGGTAAAATGAAGTTTTACATACAGTAAAAAACATTTTATGATTCTATTATTTTTAAAAGGCATTTTAACAAATATAACTAGGCAATACAAACTATGACCTGACTATACTCAAGAAAATGTTCAGAATTTTTACAGAGTGCTATGTGTTGGACGAAAATGCAGCTACTACAGGGCCTTGTACTTGATGGATCATTAATTCCAGGATTATGTCATTTGACCACAGGGTATTACTTTATATCTGAAAAGACAGCTAATGCCATGGTTTTTCTTTTGGTCTTTCTCACTGTAGTAGACATCACATGATGATTTTATATAATCTTTTCATCAGGGAAAAAAGGCTGACACGCCAAGTCAACAGCGCTTTGTCTCACCAAGTACTTTCCAGGTGGGGTAATGGGGTTATCAAGGCAGGAATTGCTTTAAAAAGCCATTACATAGGTGTGTTGTTGCTGTTGGACAAAAAAAAAAAAACAAAAACATTATCACTTTACTGTGTTACAAAGAACTTAAAATTTATAAATTGAAACTAATGTGGAGAGATGCTGGGGATAAATTGTAGAAAAGGGAAAAAATAGTCTAAGCCATTTTCCAAGTAAAACAAAAAGATCAAAAAGTTCTTTCAGTGCTGGATTTTTTGTCTGTCAGCTTTGACAGTTTTTTTTTTTTCCAATGTAGATGTTATCACAGAAACAATGGTGTTGTTACGAAATTACTGCAGATGAGTAAATTGTAACTTCCTGCCTGTTTGCATCCTAATGAAAAACCTGAACATTTGCCCCTGATCTTGAGTGCTTTATTATCACTTAACTGAGATAAACATGAGCCATGAGGCTGATGAAGCTGATGAAGCCTGGTTCAGTGTCATCATGCTATGAATACTTAGGAGGTCGTAAAATTTAAACAGTCATGGAATTTCCATTAAAATAAATCTCTCTGTAACTTTGCCAATTGAAAAGACAATGAAAAGTAATGTTGAGCCTTTTAGGTAAATGAAAACTTCATGCAGCTAGCCAAAAGAAAAACAAAATATAAGAGCCCTGTTTCCAAAATATGAGAAACTTACATAGTATGAAGGTATCTCCCATCCAAAATCTCAGCTTTAGTTAATGGGGCAATAGGGAGTGAGTACAAGCTTATCTTTACTTGAAACTCCCAATGCTGTTTAGCAATCTTGGTTTAGCCACAGTGTTTTGTTAATGACTCAGGGGGACAGAAATACAGAACTTCCCACTATTGCCCTTCCCTCTTAGGAGGTATGAATCCTGCTTTTTTCCCTGGGTGGTGCTGGAACAAAAGCATCTTTTCCTTTTGCCTAATACAAGACTTTTTTTTTTCCAACTAGTCATACAGTTGAGATCCAGCCACACACACGCAGAGCCAAGAGTATCCATGCAGGACGATACCT